GGGACCTTTTCGGGTTATCGGATCAATTGGACTAAAAGCGTTTTAATGCCAGTCCATATGAGTGACTTAGCACACCTAGATCACTTTCCATTTACAGTCTCTCCAGAAAAATTTACCTATTTGGGGATAGAAGTGACAAAGCAGTACTCGTCTCTATTCCAGGCAAACTTCCCCCCTCTAATAGAGCGATTACAGACTAGAATATCATTCTGGGACACGCTCCCAATTTCTTTAATTTGGAGAATTAATGCTATAAAGATGATTTTCCTCCCACAATTGTTATACCTATTTCAAAACATCCCAATGTTTCTAAAAAAATAATTTTTTAAACACCTAGATTCTTTAATAGTTCCTTTTCTGTGAGGACACAAGGTTCACAGAATAGGTAAAAAACATCTCTGTAGGCCAAGGCCAAAGCCAAACGGGGGATTGGCACTCCCAGACTTTTTGCTATATTACTGGGCCTCAGCGATTAAGATCTCAGCGATTTTACCTTTTGGTTGGACTCATCAATACCAATGTCTGGATGGAGCCTTTTCTACATGGAGTGAGAGGGGTGTCCAATGTATTGGTGACTTATACGTGGGAGGCGTCTTTGCTTCATTCACACAACTACAGAGGAAGTATGAGCTGGGGAAAAATAACTTCCTTCGTTACCTACAAGTTAGGGACTACATTCGGAAATACTTTGAGCCTGAATCACAATCTAAAATAGATGACTGTCTGAAATTGTCTCCAAACGAAAGTAAACAATCTCTTATTAATAAGCTCCCCATCGACTGAAAATTATAAACATAAGTGGGAAGAGGAACTTGGTGAATCTATTCCAGATGATTTATGGAAAGAAAGTCTTGAAAACATACATAATTGTTCAGATAACGCAAGACATTGTCTTGTCCAATTTAAAATTATACAAAGGCTTCATTACTCAAAGGAGAAACTACATAACATATACCCAGAGGTGTCACCTACTTGTGATAAGTGCCACTCTTCCGTAGCAACACTTCTCCATAGTTTTGCTCTATGCCCAACCCTCCAATTGTTCTGGGTTGATATATGTAACATTATGTCTGAGGTCATAAATACTTTAATCAAACCTGAGCCCGTGTTCATCATTCTTGGAATATCGGAGACCTTCAGGGAACTGAGTGTGACACAGCAGCGTTTTATTTATTATTGTTTCATAATAGCAAAGAGATTAATCCTCATCTTATGGAAGAGCACAACTGTACCTACCTCTAAGATGTGGTTAGAGGATTTAACTAACACACATACTTTATTTAGAAAGGATAAGGTATACGCTGAGAGACAGGCTCAACTTATTCAATAAAACATGGAAACCCATCATATCATACCTAAAAACTAAAAATCCAGTACAACAGTCCGCATCCTAGCACACGATATATGACAATTGTAATGGTTTTTGATTGAAGGTCTCTATGAGGAAGGGTGGATGGGGTTGAGATACATGGGAAGGGGTTAGACGGGCGGATAGGGGGTTGGGATAGTGTGGGGGATCGTGGTCAGCCTGGTGGTGTTCTTGCCACCATTTTTGTATTGTTATTACTTGTCTTGTTTTGCTTTGTCTTGTTTTAATGTTGTACCACTTTAAGTTTACTGTTTATTTATTTTTATTCTTTTTTTTTTTATTTAGTTATAAAAAAGATTCTCAGAATGTACAAGTGAATTGTATGTTAAATCATATGCTTTAATAAAAAGACGTTTGATAAAAATAAAGCAGCCAAAACCCTGTGAAAGAAGCTTCGTCGGACGAAGCAGCCACCATGCATTCCCTAGATAGTTTCATGTTACGTGCACAAATAAAAGTCTGTGTGTGTGTGTGTTGAATTTCTCTATGTGATAAATTCATTTAACCATTAGGCTGTGGTGTTTAATGCTAGTATGAATATCAATATGATGTAATAGAAAAATATTGTACACGAATTGCATATGGAAAATATTTTATTTTCCTGTAATAATTTGTATATTTATATTAATTGTATGACTGGGTATTTAAAAATGTAATTGAATACGTCTGAATGAAAACTCACTCGTAAAGTAAGATCTGGGGGGTTTGAACATTCCGACACGCAAAATTAATCTGTGATTGGACAGAAAGTGAGGCTTCGTTTGTCATCAGTCACGTGATTTCTACGTTAACAACACAAGCCTCGAATCGTGGTTTCATCTGGCACGCCCATTTATGCTCAACACGAGCTACTACGCCTTTGTTCAAATGTCACATCACTAGCTGTGATACTTTCCTTTGACTCTCTCCTGCTTCTTCTCCGGTACCTGCTATATTAATAAATACCAGTTCATTGCGACTTACTTGTGTTGTCTCCTTCTGTATCAGTACAGAAGACCAGACCACCATAACCGACAACAGCAGCCATGGACATCAGATCTTTAGACCATGCGAATTTGCTCCTCTCCATTTCACAGGATGGTCGTCCCATTGAAGATAATGTTGAGGAATTTCTCCTCGATCTTTCCAACCAGGTACCATGGAGTGATAAAACCTTAAAAACCATCTTATGGGGTGGCTTAGATGACAAAGATGTCATCGTTATCAAAAAATGCCGACTTCAGCTACCACCTTTTCCCTGGAGTGTTATCTTGATTATGCTCTGTTGCTTAGTCAGTCCCTCCAGAATTTCGCGATGTCGCTATCGCAACTATTAACGCAACTTCAACAAATCCCTGTGAATTCAGTGCGACTTGCAATCTTGACCAATCACCGCAACTTTTCTGCAACTTTGACCAATCATCGCGGTCTCCTGCAAAGCGTCGTCATACGTCAGCAAACTCACTTCCTTATTTTTTCAGAAGACGCAGCAGACATGTGTGCTGCCAACGTCTCACATTTACCTACAAAAATAACAGCAAAGGACCGTGAAAAACAGTATCCAGATGTTCTTTACGAAAGCGGGGTTAAACTGTTTTGCAAGACGTGCAATATTGTTGTCGAACATAAAAGGAAATCGACAATTGACAAACACTCTGCCACCGCTAAACATACCTGGAGAATGACAGAAACGCATGGAGGCTATAGTAAGACGAGACATATCACTGTGACACAGGCTGTTGCATCCCGATCAATTGCAAGCTCTGAAAAAATCAGGGTAAGTTGGTTTGAATATATATTTATATATACAATGCATGGTAACTTAGAGGTAACGTTAGTGTACGGTAGTTTATCACAGAGTGACTAGCATCGCCGAAGTTACTGTCTTGTTTGCATGACACTGAACTGTGTGAACTTTTTGAGAAAGCTGTTCTATCAATTATGATGTGTACTGAAATCAGTTGATGCGTGTGAGGCATATAGGACACGGAGATACAAAAGTGAAATAAAAATAAATAGTGAACAGTTTTTGAACAAAAAATATATTGTTCAAACCCTTTGCTTGACAGACATTTGTAATTGTTCAATCAAAAGTAAAATATTTCATCATCTGTGAAAAAGCTATCAGCTTCGGATTTCTCCTCGTCACTTCCCAGTAATTGTTCCAGAGCGTGGTAAATCTTTTACTGCTTGCCATCATAAAAGTGCTAAAACAATAAGATAATAATGCTATAATTGCTATTATGCTATATATATATATATATACTGTAAAGTCCGGCTCGGTTGGTCCAAATTCGGCATCCAATCAGCGGTAGAAGGTTACTCTGCGTATTACTTGCCTTTCCTTTCACGCAACACAACAAGATTAAATGCAATATATTTTCTCATGTATTATCTCGTTATTATCTGACTCCATAAATGAAAAGGTTTTAATGATATCCGTGCATCATTAAACGTTAGCGAAGGTTTGTTTATTCTTTAAACTCTGATTATATTTTATCCGCTCAGATCAGGAAACTATATCACTTCGAGTTCCTCACCAGGTCTCCGGCACAATCTCGTCAGTTTCCGATTATCAAAACAGAGGTAATTGGCTGAATGTCTGGGATTTGCCGTAATTCACACGTACAAAATCGAAGACATATACACAGCCCCCTTGAATGCCACCTCAGGAACTTATTCAATAATTTACTTTAGTAGCGTGCACTTATCTAAAGTAACATTAAATTAGAACAGAGGTATTTAGACGTACCCAAATCTAGATCAAACAGCATTAGCTGATTCTAGACGGAAACTACCCGTCTCCTCATTCAAGTACACTTGAATCTGATATCAGATATTAGTCGTCACTAAACTCTGACGCAAACTTGTGGAAATATACGAATCCGATAATCTACTCGGGGAAAAACAATTCTCAGAGTCGGTTAGAATAAAATCAAACGTTTACAATTTATTGATCAGGTAATGATGTAATCATTTCAAATCCAATTCAGAGGATAAAATCATCAGTTAAGCATATCAATTCAGAAATCACAGAATTTGTAGAAATTGTTACCTGTCAACAAAATTACACACAGCGGTTGTGTGGGCAGTCAACCTACAGACTCCCCGAACATTTCTGCTGCTTTTCCTTATAAACCCAGATAATTCAATTGTTACCAAATGGTGATGTCTGTCATTATAATTAGATCTTGGTTGTTTATTCAGGGGCTCACACTGTGAGGTCTGCCTGATTTTACATACAGGAGGTAGTCTGAATGAGGCTATTATGGGACACATCACTTTTCTCACATTTCATAACTTCTTTTAGCCTTTCATCATAGTTGGGGGAATGAGACCATGTCACCAGGCGCATTGTGATACATCAAAAGACACCAAACATGAGTAGTTACATTTTTGTACACACATAACATTGCATAAGGTTTCAGTGTATTTCAGGTGAGGAGGAGGGGGATGTGGGGAAGACAGTGTGGGTGAAGTGTGAACTGCACTGCGTGCTGCTTCTCCAAAGTTCCTGTTACATATGCAAGAGGGAGTTACATATTCAAGAGATAGTTCAAGTGTTAATTCCCCGGAGGGCCTTTTGTCACATTGAGGGGTCGATCAGACATACCGGCACCAGCCTTACAGTTCCCTCCTCTGGCACCGTGGGCCACTCACAGGGTTTCCTGCGGTGTCACTTCAGTCTTTGTAAGGTGGGCAGCTTCAAGGGGCTGAGAGTTAAGATGGTGTTGGTGGATGCTTTTACTGATCTGATGAGGTGTCGGAAGTAGCAACATTGGAAAAGCGTGAAGGAGAAGATGAGTGCGCTTCCAACCGCACAACCTCGAAGTACCCAGTCCCACCAGGTGTATGCAGTCTGTGCCGATCGAGTAGATGAGCTAGACAGGATCTGTGCAGTCTTTCGCGCCAAGTTCGTCTCCACTTGCGCTTGAGAGAGGTGATACTCTGTTTGGAGGACGATGTTCTGTACCAAGTCCATCGTGTCGACCAAAGCTTGTGTTCCGTGTTCATAAAAGGTGTCGTCCCACCATGGAGAGACCTCTGCGTCCTTTGGCATCCTTCCGAGGATGTCAATCTGGCCCATAGAAAAGTCCTCTGTCACTTCCAAGCAAAAGGAGTGATTAGCAGGACAGGTCAGTCCTCCATATGTGAACGAATTCATCTCACTGATGATGCACCACTGTGTATGAGACACCTGAACAGCATTTGAATGGCCATGCAACGATTCAACATTTATGAGTTTGCTATCATTGGAGGAGAAAGGCTGTAATGTGTTACATGTGCAGACAACATAATTGTGAGTTTCATGACAACAAGTGCGACTGGTGAACAAGGTCTCAGTACCCTTCAAAGTCATATATCCCGTGAGGTGATCCCATTTAATTACCTGATCTTTAACTACCATGCCAATAGAGCGAATAGTAGTGGAATTTGGATAAACTTGATCTGGGTGTATTAAAGGAAAAGTGGCAAAAAATCCAATGCAACCAATACATTCGTTTCCAGTATACATCATAATTGTGGATAACAGTTCTGAATATTTGACATTTTTCATCTTTTCTGAAGAGAACCATCTATGCAAATCTAAAACTTCAATTAAATCATTTAAAACATGTCTAGGGGTCTGGTGAAGGCGAAGATCAAAAATTTCTTGTCGTGTGGCAGTGAATAAATCTTGTGCATATGATCTACAGGCTAAGTCACGTTCGATGGTACGGGTCTGATTGAACAATGTGTGGCTGATCGTCAGAAGCGCCTGCGCCTCAGAACGAACCGCTTTGATAATGTTATCATTGCTATTGGTGAGGTGTTGGAAACCAGTGGCCATCTGGTCTGTCAACCATGTGGAGAATTGGGATTGTTTCGTTATTTTGTAGGTGTTGGCTGCTGAATTAATTGATCCAAACAAGCCGGCTATACTGCTGAGTAGGTCTCGTTTTGAGCGAGAAGGTGGAATTTGGACGGCAAGTCTGTCTTTGTAATCAGAAATTAAATCATCGATTCGTGACTGTAGCCATGCATATGACTCATCATTAATATTACAATGTTTTGTATAGGCAGAAAGTATGTTGGAAATGTTGTAATTTACGTGTGTCATTACCAAATTTACGTCATGTAACAAAGTTTTGTTAATGTTTCCTCTAATCAGTCCGCCAGGAGGAATTGGGTGTAATTCTGGACAAATTTTGGGTTTAGTGTACCCGCAGGTGGTCAAATTAAAACAATACTTAACAGTCCAAGAACAGTTGTGTGGATTGGTGAAATTGTCTATGCTATGTGTACATTCTCCGACACAATACGTTCCTTCTTTTCGGTTGGTCCACACAAAAGCTTTTGGCTTCGGCTCGTTAGGTGTGTACGATGTGAGATCGTACATTAACTCTTTGAATCTTATATGTGTGTCATTATGTGTTTCGGTATGTGTGCACCTATATGTTGCAGGTTCCAAATGTTTAACATAATAGCATAATTTTGGGTCTGTGCCATTATTGTTGTTTTCATGTAGAGTGTACATGCTGCCTATTGTGTCACCTGGATCTATTTTAAGCTGATACCAGGCAGTGAGGTTGTGCATGAATTTTGGTGCTCTAGTGTATCCTGAAATGTTTCCAGTAGGTGGGTGGGTGCTACCTGTACTACAGCAGATTTTTGGTGTGCAATTTGGATCCGGTACTATACCGGGAGGCCATGTAGCTGTCTCTTTGGGTGCGACTGTGATTTTTGGTGTGAAAGGCCCCTTGGAATATTTCCACACCCACCTCCCACATTTCAGGTTGTGTGTGAGTGAAACCCTTTGGCCGAGTCTGATGCACGTGGGCCCGGACACTTTCCTTTCATCTGGCCTCCATGGGATCGCTGCAGTCGACCTGGAAGGCAAGAAGAAAAGTTAGTGACAGTTATTCATTTATTTTGTGTACCTTTAAATGACTTGCACTGAGACATGTGATACCATCGCAGTTTCCCTTTTATGGTTGTAGCCACACAGCTGTTGCATACAGCCTTAATTTCATACGGGCCATGCCATCTGGGTGTGAACGCACCTTGCTTCACAAAAACACGTATCATTACCATGTCTCCCTCTGAGAACTTCACCTCAGAGTTTGGGTTGAATTGTGCATCATTTGTTAGGTCTGACTGCTGCTGTTTCAGAGCAGCGTGTGCATGCAGCACTTCCAGCCTCTCTCGTAGTTGCTTTAACACGGATTGTTGAGTTGCAATCACGAGAGGCCCCAGGTCTGCTGGGGTAATTTCTGGGTCAATGGGCAGCTTCATGACTCTTCCAGTCATGAGTTCGAATGGACTGATACCTGTGGCTTTTGAAGGAGTTGCCCGCAGTATGGTTAGGACTGTGGGTAGGGCATCAATCCATTGGTTTTTGTGCTGTGCAACCTGTTTTGAGATGCTTTCTTTTATGGTGCGGTTAACACGTTCCACAATACCCGAGCTCTGCGGCCTGTATGAAACGTGGAATCTTTGTTTGATGTTCAGCATCTGGCATATGTTTTTCATCACCTGACCTGTGAAGTGTGTGCCCTGGTCAGATTCAATTTGGATTGGTGCTCCCCAGAGTGGGAGAATTTGGTTCGCTACCACACGTGCCACTGTGCTTGCACTGTTATTGCGAGTAGGAATCGCTTCAACCCATTTGGAAAATTTGTCAATTATTACAAGGCAATAACGATACCCCCCTTTGGCACTGGGTAGTGGGCCTATAAAATCCAATTGAAGTGACTCCCAAGGTCCTTTGGGTGGCTCTGGTCTACACAGCTTTGTACGGCCAGGCTTACCTTGGTTGATGGTGGCACATACGATGCATGTGTCACACCACCTTTGAATGTCTGATGCCATTTGTGGCCACCAGAAATTATTTTGTATCAGCTGTTGTGTTTTTGGAGCTGATACGTGTGCATACTCGTGGTACAACTTTATCACTGGTTTCTGGAGGGCTTCTGGAACAATGTATTTATCGTCTCTCAAAACCATGCCTTCAGTGACCTTGACTAGTTGGTCCTGCTGCAGGTGCGGTGTCAGCTCTCCATCAGAACTCCACAGTTCTTGTTGGTACTGTTTCAAGTCAACAGGAACAGTCTGAACCGCACTCACACCAGGAACAATCAATCTGTCAGGCTGCTATACATCTCCCTTTTGTGCTGCTAATTTTGCTAATTGATCTGCAATGTTGTTGTTTTTCTCATGCTCATCGGGATTCTTGTTAATGTGCGCGCGCACTTTGACAACGGAGAGTGAAGAATCGCGTGTTTTAATCTCCTGCCAAATCGAAGTTATGATGTTAAAATGTTTTATTGGCGTTCCGGCAGATGTGAGGAATTTTCTCAACTGCCACTGTGCCATAAAATCATGGACAGCACCGAAAGCGTATCGACTATCAGTGTAAACACACAGCGGTTCGTGATGTGATCTGATTGCTTCGAGTAATGCAATGAGTTCAGCTTCTTGCGCAGATGTGTTTTCGGACAGTTTGATTAGCAATTGGTTAGTTTCTGAATTGGGAGAGTGAGGAGCCCACACCGCACAACCTGTGTGGAATTTGCCATCATGCCAGTATCGGGAACCATCAATGTACACCTGTGTCTGATTTGGAAGTTCTTGGTCATGAACCGGACTCTGTGCTTCCTGTTTAGGTTGGCATGTGTGTGGATGGCCCTCTACATCTCCCAATAAATGAGGTAATATTCGGTCGTTAACTGTTGTGATGTCGCGTGCCTGTATGTCTGCTAGCCATCTTGCTAACCTTTGCGACGACACGCCTTTTATTCGGCCCTGCAACAACATTTGTACTGGCGTGTGCACTGTATGCACAACAACAGGTTGAAAACCTACAATTGGTTCTGTTGCTGTCAACATCCAGTGAACCGCCAGCACGTGCTGAGTGCATGGGTCGAATCCCTGTTCAATCGTGGACTTTTTTCGGCTGTAATAGGCAATCGGACGCAATTTTCCCCCATGGTCCTGAGCTAAAACGCCACTTAGAGTGTTTTCATTTGCGTCTACCTGCAAGTGGAAGGCTTTTTTAGGGCTGGGCAGGCCGAGGGCGGGGGCACAACACAACTTTTCTTTTAGATTTGTAAAGGCTTTTTCGTGTTCCTCTGACCATTCGAGGACGTCAGAAGGCTTTGACTTTCCCTTTAAGAGGGAATATAATGGCGTGACGACGTTTGCAAAATCTGGAATAAAATCTCTCAAGTAGTTTGCTGTCCCCAGCACTTTCTGTAACGCGTTCAGCGTGTGCGGTCGCGGAAGTTCAGCAATGCATTTCCGCCTATCATCTGTTAAGGCTCGGTGGCTCTGCGTTATCGTATAACCCAGGTACTGGACCTCGTTTTGTGCGATTTGAGCTTTTTCTTTGTTTAATTTGAAGCCAGCTTTACCGAGTGTTAATAGTACTTCGTCGACGAGTAGCAAATGATCATCAAATGATCCCTCGGTCGCGATAAGTATATCGTCGACGTAATGGATTACGTTTCCGGTCCCTGTCACTGGATTGAGCGTGTCTTCTAATGCTCTGTGAAAAATCGCAGGACTGTTATGGAGGCCTTGTGGCATTCGCTCCCAGGTGTACTGGATTTGATTCACAGTGAAGGCCAATTTCCACTGATCAGCGCGTTTGATTGGGATGGACCAGAAACCGTTCTTTACGTCGAGCACTGTAAACCAGGACGCTTGTGTTGAAATCTGCGATAATAACGTCGATGGATTTGCCACTATAGGTGTAGCCTTGGGCAAAACTTTGTTAAGACGTTGATAATCAATACAAAGACGCCATTTACCGTTTGATTTTGGTACTGGTAAACACGGAGAGTTTGTTGTCGAACTACATCGCCGGACTATTCCTCTGATTTCAAGTTGTTGCACAATTTCATGAACAGCTGACTCGGCCTCTGGTTTGATGCGGTATTGTTTTTGTGGGGGAGGGGGCTCCCCCTCAATGCACACAACAAAGTCAATGAGGCCACAGTCATGTTCATGTGTAGCCCAAATGTAATCGTGTTTGTTTACCATCTGTTGAATGGGATCTGGGGTGGAAATGGACATAATGCTCGTTGTGTTTTTTGTTAAACACATTTTTACTGTTTTGTCTGTTTTCAATTCAATTTGCTTTTCAAAGCAGTGAATTACAAAGCCATACTTTCGCATAATGTCCATTCCCAGTACAGTCCCTTCACTGTTGTTAGGTAAATACCAGAGGGGTTCTTTCAATACGGTCACGCCCAAATCGAGTTCAATTGGCTGTGTTTTTGTCGCAATCATTAACCTGTCGCCGATGCCTTTTATCTGAATAGTTTCGTTGGTTAAAGGAAATGGAATGTCTGTACAGGAGCAAGATGCGCCAGAATCAATAAGTACGTCTGCTAACCGGCCTCCTAAATTAGCTCTTATTTTAATTCGGTTTCCACTCTTAATTATGCTCCCTACGGCGATGGAGGCCACGTATCCCTATTGGTGTTGATATTTTTCAATGGCTCCGCTCGCGTTGTGGGCCGCGCCATTTTGGCTTTTTTGTTTTTGAAACTCGGTAATGAAATCAGCGAATTGTTTATACAGGTTAGAGTCGTTGTTAGAGGGCGTTTTTTGGCAAAGATTCGCTGGTTCTCTTAAATCTCTCATTCTTTTCGTGCAATCTCTCATGAAATGGCCAGTCTTTTTGCAATAGCGGCATGACATTTTGCTTGGAGATCTTTGGTTAAATTTGTCTGGGCTATTCCCAATCCCTTCTGTTAACCATTGTGCAGCCGCAACGTTACGGGGTTTTGATCTCCATCTGTTTTCTATCCTTGAACCCCAGTCTACTATCGCTCTGAACGTGTTTTCGGCCGGGTCGACGCCATTTGATAACGCCTTTTGAACAGGGATGCCGGCATTGTTCTTTATAATTTGTAATAACGCGTCATGGTTGCGGTCTACATCCTCTAGGCCCGAGTGTTCTCTGTATGTTACCCATAACCGTTCAGTGTACGTTTCAAATGACTCATTACTCGCTTGTTTGATTTCTAATATTTTGCTCCAATCAGCATGTGTCGGCCCCCTCATGTCTAATAATGCCTGTTTTAGACGCTCATAGATACTTTCGTCGTTTTCGTTATTTTTCGGTTCATTACGTTGCCAGATTTCATTTCTTCGGTTAGTTTCGGTCTGAGCTCCTCAGGGATGGTGAGGAGAGCTATTTGCCAAACATCTCTAAATTCTAATTTGTACACCGTTGCCTGTAACATCAATGCTTCCCAGTAAGGTTGAAACGGCCCCTTTCTCGGCATAATTCCTACGATTTGTTTATGTCTAGAACATTCTTCGCATGTTAACGGGCGGCTGATTGTTGTGATTTCATCATCCGCATTCGTCATGGTTTTAAGCACAGCGACTTTAACTGATCTCTTTGGCAAATCATTCGATTGTTTTCGAGTCTTTACTGGGCTTCGCAGGTCTGGCTCTTCAGGCCACTGACTCACAAAAGCTCGTTTACGAGTTTCTCTCTGTGGCCTGTATAATAACGCGGCGTCATCGTCGTCACTATCATTTTCTGCCTCTAGCTCGGAGGTTTCATCCAGTGCCGCTTGTTTAACTGCGGCTACTGGAAAACCTGATTTATCGCAACAATCTTCGAGAGCAGATATGTAATTATTGCCGGTTTGCAGTTTCCTTTGAATTTGATCAATTTTTGCGGCCATTTCTTCGCGCTGTCTTGCCCACCCTTGTTGTTCGTACGCGAACGCTTCGACTTGTTTTCTTAACTTTAGTAATTCGTCAGATCGCAATCTTTCGATTTCTTTGA